GTAATAAAACATTGTAACAAACTAATTATCAAATGTTTAATTAAAAAATCAACACGATTAAAAAGCTTTAGTTACGCCGAAATGCTTAACACCAAAATAAAGGCGGCCAATTGATAATGGGCACATTATATGCCGCGTTTGAATATTCACATTACATTAAAAGTAGGTAATTAGTTTGTTTAAGTTTTGTTAAGATTTCAAATTTAGCTTGATTTCTAGTCTCAAAATTCAAATTTAAAAGGTATGAAGTTCTAATTTGTCATTGTCATTTTATCACGTGACCAATAAAGTCTAGAGCGTTTGTTTATTACATCTACATTTAAATATAATCCTCTGTCACGTGATAAAAAATTCAAAATATCTTAGATGCATCCGGTGTGGATATTCAAACGCAGCAATAATACTACGAGTGCTTGTTATACATATGGTGAGTTCGGTCTACGCACTCTTTTCACTATATTCACTCCTAAAGTACCTAAGGCGTTCGGGTACGGAAGGAGAATAAAAGTTCCTCTTTGACCGTTCGGCGATGGTGGAGTGGAGTGTGGACAGGGCATGCTATTCCCGTGGCCAAAACTCGTTCGTGGTGCGCAATACGTCACTCGCAGCGTATTAATCAAATTCGCATGTACGGTTAAAGCGTATTTACTCTGTTTGTCTTTGTATTTAGATGTTTGGATTTTGTGTATCTTTAGAAAAAATGTCCGTAACAGCACAAAATTAAATAGTGTACACATGCTTAAAGATATAAAAATAGACATTAAATAAAATAAAAATTTTAAAATATTTGCCCATATTTTAAAATTTTTATAATATATTTTGTGTTGCTTTAGTGTTGAAGGGTAAATTAATTTGTAAATTAAAGGGAAATTTATTTGTAATAATATAATTTATACCGGGTGTCCGCGCGAAAACTTTGGATTACTTTATTTCTGATGGTTTTAAGTTGAGAAAGTGGATTTTTTTGGAATGTGATTTTATATATAGATTTTATATTCAATTAACTTCATATTATTTTATCTAAATTAAAAATTAATTAAATAATTAAAAATATTATTCATTAACATTTGTGACCGGTGTAATATGGATACATTTAGGATAGTTTTTTGTGTTGCCTTAAATTCCTAATAAAATTAGCTTTAATATGAGGTCACACTTGGGATTATGTAACAATTTTGTATCCGCGCAGACACCCGGTATGTATATTGTTTGTGTCAAAAAACACTTGTGATCTTGCTTTAGGATTGAAAGGTGAATTAATTTAAAATAAAATAAATAATCTATATTTAAACAAAATTTATTAATAATAAAATACATAAATTATATTTATGGGCTAAAAACGTCTTAGAAAAAATAAGATATTAGAACAGTTATGTGGCAATTTTTTTCATCTTTCTTTTGCCTACAATTGGTTTTCTTAGCGATTTGTTTAATTCTTTGAGACGAAAATACATACGTGATCTAAAAAATAAATTTTTTGCTGAGTCTGAGCAATCAACATGAACACTTTTCGACACCAAGTTTTTGATGTAATTTTTGCAAACCAGTAGAGTATCTCCATTTACACTAGTAAAAATATTTTCCAGTTCCTCCATTTTTAAAAGAAATTCATCCGATGGTTTGCATAAACCTCCTTCATCCACGTGATCAAGCCAAGTATAAAATGGTTTGTTTGTGTATTCAATTCTGGAATAACCTAATTTGAAATAAATGTACCCTGTTAAATTTTCTAAGCCATCATATTCCAATTCGTGGAGTTCATGGGATATAACTTCATCTTGTTCATTGGCATTAACAACAATTAGTGGATCATTTACGATTAGGAGGGGATTATTACTAGTATCCAATTTATCTATCATTTGGCCACTCATGGGCAAGTCTGGAGTATCGTCTGCCTCTACATTGGAGAAATCTGAATATGCACCTTCATTTTTTCCCATAATATATGAGCGTAACCGGTATTTGAATTCTAGGGCATTGGGATGGTCATGGAGCCCTCCCTTTGCTCTAATTATACCAAAAAAATTCTCCAAAATGTCTTGATTTAAACGCCGAGTAAGAATGTATTGCGTATCAAACCTTCTTTTTAAATCTTCAAGCAAAAGTTTCAAGGCATTGTTGGACATCAGAATACCTAGTTAAATTTTCACAAATTATTAAAAACAAAACTAATTTATTCAAATTATTTACCATCCTGAAATGGAAGTAAACTTTTTCTTCCTTTTACTCTGATATTTAAAACTTCTTCAGACATTCCATCGATTACTTCATTTTGCTGCTCAACTTCCAGGCCATAACCTCGGTTCCTGGCTCTTGTGTCACTAAAAGGTACACTGACGTTAAAAACGTCAAACAAATCGTTTACCTACAAAATAATAAATTAATAAAAACAAAATGTATTGCAATGAAATTCTTACAGTTTTAAAAAAGTCTGCACATTCGGTCCAATTCATATCACCAGGAAGATATCCAAGTGTTCCACATCTACTAATGGCTTTTGAAATCGTATGGGAAAAGAGCTTAGCGGCAAATTTAACTTTTTGCCTTTGTGCCCCAACTACATTAAGTGTCTCTTTCGAAATTTTGTGCATAATTTTGAGATCAGAAACGGCTGTAGCATCTAATGTGGATTCTACAATAGATTTGTTGATTTCTTTTCCATTATTATGAATAAAACCTTGATCCACAAAATGATTTCTGATTACCTTCAAAAGATGGGGCACATCAGCAAAGACATATATTTTTTCCCCATTGCAAGGATTCAAGAAGTGAGGTTTTGATTTTGAAATTTCCAGCTCAGTATGAAGTCCTCTATTTCCACCTCCTAAATCAGAAACCATGGCCACTACTGGAAAACGTGCAGAATAATATTTATTAAAATTTAAAACTTCTGATGAATTTTTAGACATACCTGAACTTTCCAAAAAATTGATGATCTCAAACAAAGTTTTAGCTGTCATTTTAAAGTCATAATCATAAAAGATTGGTTGTTTCCATGACTTAAATAGCCCCCTCATCATGACTACTTGTGCATAAGCAAAAGGCTTCAGAATTTCATCTTCTAACCGATCATAGATATATTCTTTCCTGATTTTAATTTCATCAAACATTATAATGTAAACTCTATCGTTATTATTAAAATCAGAAAATTCTACAAGTTTAAAGATGTTTTTAAGAATCCTTGGTTGAATTTTAATCTTTTTTAGCCAAGCTCTTAGTGTGGAGACTGCAGGGTATGGAAACCCTTTTTTTAACATAAGCCTGTATGCTCTGGGTCCAGCGGCATATAATACAATGGAATTTGCAATTTCGGTAGTAGACCATTGAATGCGCTTCTGGTGCTTTAGTTTTGAAATTTGATTTTTGGAAAAAACCTTTTCGACGGCAGACAGTGTTTCTTTTAATTCTGCTACTTCTCTGGTTTTTTCATTTAGTGAGTTTGTCACAGAATCAATTGTGGTGGCAGTCACGTCAGTTTGCACCCTAAAATGTAAAACATATGTTAATAACAAATAATTAAGTAGCAAATTAGATGCAGAAATAGGTACATTCAAAACTACTTAAATTACCACTTATTATCATTAGATGATGTCGAAGGAATATCACTCATGCAAGCACCATCAAAATTATGTACCAGACTACTGCCCGAACTACTTAACGTACTATCATTATTTTTACCACCAGTACCATCACCAGACCTACTAATATAAAAATTACCAAAATTATGACAATGCCCAATTTTACACAAAGTTAAGAATATTGGTTTTTAAGGTTAGAAATTTTATGTGTACTTACGTGTTCAATAGTTCGTCAACCAATTGCTTTCTCTGCCTTTTTTTAATACTTGCATCACGTCCTGAAGCAGCTTCAACAGGCTTTGCATGTACCCCATAGGGTAGTTTTAAGTTCGGCACTGCATGATCTTCTAGCGGACGATAACATTTTGGGGTATAGTTCAATAACTTATGTCGCAAATTTATCTTAAAGTCACTTTCAGCAAAGTGCTTGGAACAAACATAAGACGTTTTAACGTTGAACTTGTCTTTTCTTCCCGTAGCATGAATCCACTTTTTGCACAATTCTCCTATTTTCGGAAATCGGAAAAATTTTACGTTGGGACACGGATTTTTTTTCGATTCATTGTCAGAATAGCATCCGTAAACTGCACAACGCATTGTTTTAGATAATAAATAGTCAAAAAACATTCACAAACTCGTCTATTGCAAAGTAAATCACGTTAAAAACTAATAACAATGGTGAAAAGACGCTGCGAGTGACGTAGGCCAGCCGCTTAGGCTCCTCCCATTCAGGCGCAATATCTTATCTTTGTTAGTTATATCGTGGAGTGTGGATCTGGCATGCGCATAAGGTGATTTAAATCGATAAGTTAATTGTGACTGATTCTTTAGTAAATAAGTTTTTTTTTTGTTCCCGTGAATATCATTAATATGGAAGAAACTTATACGGTCGTTACTGATAAGTACGATTAAATTTTAAGTACTGGTATGTCACATTGACAACTGACATTGCACTCCGAGAGTTAAAGGAGTAAAATCATATTCGCACTCCGTTTATGCCTAATTACTCCACTCCACTATGGAGTGCGCAGCCCGAACTCACCTTTGTTACGCGTCCTCTCTCTTTCCTTGTCTAAGTGACTGGCTATGTTGGTCAGTTAACCTTTTCGACCGCTCCGACTGCTCACTTAAAGCACCTATTCAGTTGTCTTTGATATCATTTAATTTTGCTATTTCTGAAAATTTTCTTAATACATACAGCAAGCTTGTTCATAAAAAATTGATATGAAAACATGAACTCTTATCTTTATAGTTTTAGAGGTAGAGAGAGAGGAAATTAAAATAAAAATAAAAAAATTGCTCTATCAAAGGTTAATTATTCAGCTCAAATTAACACACCTGACTTACGTTAAAAAAAGAACATCCATCAAATATTTTTAATGTAGTAAATTTTAGTCTGAAACATTATTCTTTTTATTTTAGAACGATTTCAGCGGAGTATTTGTAGGCGAAAATAAGTTCCAAAGAATATGTCCAGACATAATTGATGGAAGAAATTCATGGTTAGTCGCGACAGCTCTAAGAATGGCATCACCATCACAAAAAAAGATAATAGAAGAGAACTATGGAAACGGTGATCCAGAATCTGCTAAAAAAGTTGTGGAGGTCTACTGGGACTTGAAACTAAATGAAGTACATGAGAAACGATCGAAGGAATTTTCTGAAGAAATGTATAACGTTGTGGAAAATTTTCCAAAAAGAATACCAAAACAACCCTTCCATGATATGGCTCAACAATTAGTTTTAAATAAACTTTATTCATAATGTTTTGATTAAAATAAATGTTTAAGTGAGGAGTAAGTATTGTTTAATTTTTTACCATTATTTTTAATCTTTATATCTACATTTTGTTGCCTAATTCGCCATAATATAAGGAGCTGGTTGCGTTAATAATCTATGTATTAATTTTATTACAATTTCTATGTACAGATTCGGTATAGTAGGTATATTTCATTACGAGTTCAGAAAATACGCTTTTCCTGTGCGAACGTGAGAATTTCCCGTGTTAGGTGAAGTTGAATACGGGAAATCATTCTAGGATGGCGTTAAACTTATTTGATTATTTCAAAAATATTTTAATAATTAAGAAAGTATAATATATTTTTCAGAGGTCTTATAATTGTCAAAGGCTATAATATACCTGCTTAAGAGCAATCAGTAACCTAATATAAAACGTCTCAAAATATATAAGGCTAATAAAGGCTTGTTTTAATAAAATCTAGAGGCGTTGATAAACAATGGCGCGATCCAAAAAAAAATTAATGAAAACAAAAAAATTGAAAATTGTGAATATATTGTAGCTATCAAATCGAAATCCTAAAAGTCAGAAATATCTGAAATAAGTGTTAGAATAATTTAAAAATTCAACAAATTTCAAAAATCCCCCAAAGGTGAAAACAAATATTTGGAAATTTAAAAAAAAGCCTGTCGTCGGCAGGATTCGAACTCAGACGTCTTTTTTCCCCAGACAAATGCCCTTACCGCTAGACCATGACGACATAATCTGTCGATATTCCAAGATAGCAATTTGAAGTTTGGGCCAGACGCAGTTTCCGGCTCGTTCTCAAATTTTAAAATACCTCTATACAGCATCGCTTAACGTACATTGAAAACAATTTATGCAGATGAAAATATAGGCTTAATACATTTCTCATATACACTAATTTCAGATATTTCTAACTTTTCGGATTTCGATTTGTGATCTACGATATATTAAAGTCCCAATTTTTATACTCAGGTTTACGTCGCTTAACGTACATTGAAGACTTAACTCACGCAGACGAAGATATCGGCTTACGGCCATATTCACCATTCTTCTGTTAATAGTTATCAGAGAGTTAACTACATAACTGACTGTTAAATTGACAATTTTGTATTCACCATTACAAAACACGACAAACAATCTCTTAAAGGCGTTCCCAAGTAACAATTTGATATTTTATAAAAGCTGAAAAAATGTTTACAGAACAAAATTTATAAAATAGAATATTAGCTAAGAACATTTCCGGAACATTCTTTCAACAGTAATAAACACAAAATGGGCGCAGTATTACAGAACTATTTGGTTCTTTTGTAAATTCTATAAGATTTGTTGAATGCAGTTACCGAACAGTTACTACACATTTACACAGACTTTAAACAAATGTTTTTTTAAACTTTTATAACTGTTTTATAAATTTTTAATTTTGAGGTTAGGTTGCATATCAAAATCAGTAACATTTTAGTTTTTTAAATGTGTCTGGTGAAAACAAATTAATTCTATATTTGTCAAGGCGATATTAGTAAAATGGCAGTATTTACTTAAGAGATATCTATAACGCGGTTTAAACATAATGTATGACCTACAATAAAGTCGTTTTTGGATGCGCAGCAAGAATTACTGTTAATTATATAGCACATACAATACTAAATTTTTAAGCGCCTCGAGTTTGATTCATATTTCTAATACTTTTTCAGTGTGAAACAAAAATTAAATTTATGCAATTTGATTTTTTTTAGTAATAAGATTATGCTAATATTACTAATGATTAAAATCTTTAATTTACATTGGTTTTGTCTTAAATACTAGTAAAACCGACAGTAGATTTAGCTTTAAAACTGTCTTAGGTTTTTGTTAAATATGGCGGCTATTCAGAGGTATTAGAAAGTTATTTTAAGACTGAATCATAATTATAAAATATTATTGTAGTAAAAACAGCTGTAATACAATAATTAAGTTGTATTACTTATTTCTACAAAACAACTTCATCATGGTTTGTTGTATAATTGTTTCATATTTCTGCACTATATGACAAAATATAACATAACCTTACTAAATCGTTTCCGATTTGTTTCTACAGCTTTATAGAGCAAGCATAATTTTTAATATTACGATAATAAGCAAGTTTAACATGGACATCGCCAAAAATACGGCCTTCTTTTAGTATTGGGGCATGATTATTCAGAACATACCTAATTATTATCTGGCTGAATGATAGTTTTTTTTTTGAGTGTCTAGACAAACCATCAAAATGTTTTACTAATATTTTTTACTGTTCTCTGAAAAGCAGGTACCACTTATTTTTTACATTTCTTCACTATTTAAATTTGACATTTTCAGACTATACACTCACATACAATTGGTATGGAAAGTAGTTGAACAAACATAAAATACAAAAATAATATGGCGTAGGTACTACCAAATGTAGTTGCTTTATTTTTTTATAAATATTTTTAAAGGGATAATACTATTCTTAACTAAAATAATTGTTATACAGTTTTTTGATTTGTAATAGTATATTTCGACAATATATTACAGTTATTTTAGAGTTTTCATCAGAAGCAAATTGCTATTGATGCGGAATTATCTCACACTAATATTTATATAACTATTTTTTAAAGCGTTATTATGAGGTTAAGAAACAGTTATATTTGTATGACCAAAAAGTTCTAAAGGTAATCCAGAACAATAATATAGAATAACTATAAAGCAATTTTATTTTATAAGCTGAAATATTGTATAGAACAGTTGTATAAATGTTTATGTAACAATTTCGTAGTTATCGTGAAAACAATTTTATAATTTTGCTGTAAGAATATTGTAAAAACTAATTTATATAACTATTTAGTTTCAGAGAACAAAATAGTGATTTCTGCAACTGTAGTACAATAAATTAGCATTCCAGAAACAGCAATATAATATCAATAAAATATAATAGTCTTGTAAACTAAAAATTATAAAGCTACTTTGTTAGTTGGGTTGTTAATGTAACAAACCAAATTTGGCCTGTTAATTTTACTTATCAGACTATTTTAATTTTACTTGTTTATTTTGAAGGGCTATATAAGGTTTTATAGGATATGAACAATAATATATACGTAACAGACTGATTTCTTACTGAAACTGGTAAATAGATGGTACATAGATGGTGCATAGCAAATTCTGTTAACACAATGTTATTTTTTATACTACTGTTAGATAACAGAGGACTTAGCTGGACAATGGTGCACATGGCCGTTAGTAAACATCAATGAATTTCTCATCTATGTACCGTAATTGGCATTATTATTAGTAAAATCTAAAGAATCCACAAAATTGCAGAAGTAATTAATGTTTTAACTAAATATTTAGTGCTGTCCCATTCCCTAATAGTATATTGGTGATAGTGATCTAACTTACTTAAAGATTATTTAGAGACCTACCATTTGTTACAGTTCTCTAAAATGTAACTATAAAAAAATGTGTTTTTCTTGTAGTTCCTACGATTTAAATCAGCAAAATATTTATTCTTGCATATATTTTATCTAAATACTAAATAGAGTTTTTTTATACATAATAGGTACTTACTGTTCAACATTTTACAGAAGTTCATATTTAAATATATTAACAGAAAAATCAATGTTTTTGTTTGCTAGCTACTCTTGTATTTCAGCTTTGGATGAGCTTATATTTGGTGTCTTTTGTAGTAACATGCTACGATATGAAGCAATGTCCATAACAATTAGAGGTTCATCAAGGTTTTTTAGTAGTTGATTTTCAAACCAATTTAAAAAATTGTCTTTATTTATTTCTCCATGATAATCATTTAATTTTAGTTTTTGAAGAATATATAGCTTTGGCACCCTCAATAAATTCATTTTCGTTGCCAGCATTGAGTATAATATATCTATAACAAAAATAATGTTTATTTATTTAATAATATAGCATGTGTCATGTAATTTCATTGCAATTTTTTATACTTCTACTGAAATTTAAAATGTAATGAATAAAAATACAGATACACAAGGTGTCCTACATCATTATATTTAAATTTTAGGGGCATAAAGTACACTTCTTTTCAAGTAAAACTAAATGCAAAAAATATATTATTGATTGACTTTTTTTCAAATAAAATATGATTTTATTTACGTTAAGAATGAATTTTGATTATTTATTATTTTTACTTGAAAAGAAGTGTACTTTATGCTCCTAAAATTTGAACATAATTATATTATGGGACACCTTGTATAATAGTAATAGTAATAAAATATAAATAAATATAATTAAAGGAAATATTTGGCAGTACTTGTGAGGTTCATATATAAGACTTACAATATATCTGCATTACACTTTTAGTATCTAAATATACAGGGTATTTCAAAAAGATTGGTCAAAAATTATACCACATATTCTTGGGTCAAAAATAGGTCGATTAACCCTTTCGAGCCGATTGGTACTCATATGTACCATCAGTGCTTTGAAAAAGACTAACTTTTCTGTTTTGCATAATTGGTGGTTTTATTGTGTACCAGTCCCTTCGGTAGTGTTTACTACGCCGCAAATATTCATGTAAATGTTCTACATAACCTGAAAGCACGTGTTTTGTCTTTAGTTTCGAATGATAGCTGAGACTGTTCGCAGTGCACTGCTATATTTTTAACCCTTGCCGTGAATGTTAGCGCTACTTTATCGAGATAATAATAGTTTCAACAAAATACAAATTGCTGATCAATACGTTCGTAAGTGCATATCAATTTATTATCATTTTTATAAAAATCTGCACAGGTACCGGCGTCGGTACCCATGTGTACCAGTAGTCTTCTGAAGTGGTACACATATTTACCGTGCGTCCTATTTCAGGTAAGGTTGTGAAGAAATGACGCGAGGAAAACTCTCACAAAAAGAGATTCAAAGGCTTGCAGAAGATTTGTCCGAAGTTGATTCAGACTCAGAACCAGAAATTTTTGCCAGTAGCAGTGATGAATATAAACCAGATAGCGACGTTGAGGATACTTCTGAAGACGAATCACCGGAAGTTAGGAAGAAAGTCACGAATCCT